TCTGGGAGTTGAAGTCCACTCATCTTAAAGTGGCCAAGTTTGGACAACACTGGGCTAGGTGGTGCCATCATCACCACCACCAGGAACAAACACAGTAGAAAGCTTTGCCATGTGAAAACTCATCTCAGCACAAGCAGCCAAAAAATCTGCAACGGGCAGGACCAGCAGCACACAGCTGGCAGATCTGGCTCTTTCAGGCTGAATCTTAGGATGACTTTCCAGATGTTAAGAGCTGCAGAGCAGTGGAACATTCTGCCTGGAAGGCCGAAGGCTTTCCAGAGGGGCCTGAACAGTTAGGAGTGGTCCGATGGACTGCTGCAGCATAGAATGTTCTACGATTCTACGAAAACAAACTACAGAAGGTGGTTTGAGGCTGCATTACTTAAGTCAGAGACACCAGACTCACAGTAGTTAAACCACAGTGGCAGCCACCACGTCAAGGTGTCCATCATGTCAACGAAGGACAATGCTAACATGAGGAGATGGGCTAGAGACCTGCATTTTGCCACCGTAGATTCTGGGTTTGGTCCCCCAGCAATTCCAGTGCGGGCTGTGAAAAGCAAGAACTGCTGGAGGGCAGCAGTCTGGAAAGGGATGGAGGAAGAGGCTGTCTGGGAGAAGGAAGCTGCCTGAACCCACCTCTAACTTTGTATAGGCATTCCAAGACCTGCTCCCGATCTCCGCAATCCAGCTTTATGTGGTGGAGGCAGACTTTGACAGCTGGGACTTTGAATGTGAAGAACAGGTGGCCATGGCTGGATCATTACCTGGTTTGAGTTCATAGAAGATCTGCTCAGTTGGGGAGATGATCAATGGGGGCTTTGATTTTTCTGGCGATCCTGCAAACCAAGTAAAAAATAAAGCCCATGAAGAGGTTTGTGGAATTCATTTCTTTCTGCAGGCTAAATTACCTGTTTAGCCTTTAGATCCAGGGGCTGAACAGATCTGGGTCCTGAATGGGTGCAAAGACGGGATATACAGTTTTCTGTGTCTCCGCTCACTGTTTTGTTTTCTGGGGCGTTCGCAGCTTTAGAATGAACCTAGTCGTTGGGCAGATCAGAAATCCTACAGCTCAACTCAACCGATAAACCTCCAGAAGAACCGCATCCGGCCACCTTCTACTTCCACGGGAGTCTCCTGCCTTGGCCCATTCTCAGCCCCAACCACCCCTCTCTACAGAACTGCAGTTCAGAGAGGATAAGAACTGCCACACAACTCAAGGGCCCGGAGGAAGCTCCAGATGGTGCATCTTTGTCATTACGTGGGCGTGCTAAATGGACTGTAGAAAAATCAAAGCAGGATTCCACCACCTCAGTGCTACTTCAGACGTCAGATTTCCTAAGACCGCAACCTGCCTGCCAACTCTTTTATTTGCTCATTTGCACACAACCTGCAGAGAGTAAAGAGGACGGCCTTGAGGGAGTGGGGGGAGAAGCGTTACCAAAGAGATGAGAAGGAAAACACAGATTAAGTCTGGGATGTAGAAAGCGTGTGCACACATCTCAGTCAGACGCCTCTCTAATTCACGCGGTGATAAAAGAAAGAGGACAGGGAGCAGGTTCAGATTTGCACAATTATGTGACTAGCCAATCTAAATAAAAGTAGTCTTCAGTCTTTCGTGGAGTTTGTTTCTTGCAGAGCTGACCCAACCCTCTCCTCCTCCTTCTCCGCCATCTTCTTCTTTGGGGATCTTGGTCTTCTTCTAAAAGGTGTTTGTTCTCCCTTCTCACCACCTTTCCAACCCTCCTGGTGTATCGGCCAATGCAGCAGGGGTGCTTAAGCTCAGCGCCTGATCAAAATGGGATCTGCGGTGGCCAAGCATGAACACAACTGTGTGTCCCTTGAAAGACACGCGGATGGCAAATGTGGGTGGCAGAAAAAGCTACGTGGCCGTCCATGGCACAGGGTCAGATTATTTGCAGGACCCCTTGTCCCCAGGGGTGCCTGCCATCCCACGCACTCTAACAGGACGGGTGACCACTATCAGCGGTGGTGGTAGGAGCATCTTTTTAAAAAAATGTATACCAAACCTCTACGAAATATTATAATCATATCGTTTCTGTCCTGTTTTGTTCTGAGATGATGATGAAGAAGAAAAAGATGATGGTGATGATTATCATCATCAAGTTTATGTTCCCCACAAATTTCTAGCACTGTTACAGGAAATTCCAAAATGTTTCATCCTTACTGTCACGGGATACAGCAACATCAATCATCATTATTAGTAGGAGCAGCGGTATTTACACAGTGGGATTAATAACATTTGGCATACTGGACAGAAGGATTCAGCTAAAAGACAGCTCCTTAGGAAAAAAAGGTTGGGTGGGATGACAAGGAGAGAAAGGAGTCAACAAGTTTTTGCTTTCATCTGGAAATAAAGGGAAATGGATGGATGGATGGAAGGAAGGAAGGAAGGAAGGAACGAAGGAAGGAAGGAAGGAAGGAACGAAGGAAGGAAGGAAGGAAGGAACGAAGGAAGGAAGGAAGGAAGGAACGAAGGAAGGAAGGAAGGAAGGAACGAAGGAAGGAAGGAAGGAAGGAACGAAGGAAGGAAGGAAGGAAGGAACGAAGGAAGGAAGGAAGGAAGGAACGAAGGAAGGAAGGAAGGAAGGAACGAAGGAAGGAAGGAAGGAAGGAACGAAGGAAGGAAGGAAGGAAGGAACGAAGGAAGGAAGGAAGGAAGGAACGAAGGAAGGAAGGAAGGAAGGAACGAAGGAAGGAAGGAAGGAAGGAACGAAGGAAGGAAGGAAGGAAGGAACGAAGGAAGGAAGGAAGGAAGGAAGGAAGGAAGGAAGGAAGGAAGGAAGGAAGGAAGGAGGCTGGTAACATCACTATTCAGGCTGGGAGTAACGATGTTATCTGTCAGGGCATCAAGGCAAATTTATGTTTCCTCTGTGCAAAAAGTGGTAACTTTCAATGCAACTTGAAAAAGAATAGCAGAAATTAGAGAACAAGAAAAGCAATCAAGCCCAGCCTGGAATTTTATTTTCTCTAATGTGCTTCCTACTCCATACCTGCAATTTAAATAGCGTTTCTTTTCAAGATTATTTGCATTTCCAATAGGAAGCTAAACACGGCATTTCTGCTGCTTGAATATCATTTGTTAAAATTTAACCCTGTTTTGTAAGCATCCATTCAAGGGGGCTGGATTCGCAAGTCCTGGCTTTGGTTATTAAACTGGTTGATGCTGTATCCTTCTGCACTGCACCTTAGCAACAATCTCCCAAGGGTGCAAAATTGCCATGACACCCCCAGACACAACCAACTTCCTGCCAGCTGGGATGTTCCAGATGTGTTGGAACTGGAGGGCACCAAGCTGGTGAAGCAGGCAGAGGCTTGCACCAAAGGCTTAGCAAAAGTCAAATCAAATCAGGATTTCAAGGCAGAACAAGCCCCATTGAAGTTTACTAGGTGTATCTCAGCTTACTCACAATTGACTACATTTCTGCAAAAATGTGGGGGGTCCACCCACAGGATAACAAGGCCCCTGTTGTTTACCCTGTCCGCTCTTCCCAGATTAAGAGAAAAGCTACTTTCTCTGACCAGAAGTGATCTCCAGCACCCCCCACCCACCCAATGCAAAGCAAAGCAAATGCCAGGCCTGCCCTTGTATTACTGCACATCATTCCAGCAAATGATGCGTGTTGGAGCATAACATCTCGAACTTGCCATAAGGGTAAGCAGCCAAATTGCAAACCCAGGAAAGCACAAGAGCTGTTTTCACACTTTCAGCAACCTCAGGATTTCAGGCTTTGGTTGGTCCTACCAGATCCTGGGTTATGGGTCACAGTAGATCCCGGTCCCCACACCCACTTCAGCCCATGAAAGGCAAAGAGCGGCGCCCTGCCCTTCTCCAGGCCCAAGTCCTTTTCCTTTCTATGGCAAACCACTTTCTCGTGGCTGTGTCACCACCAACAGCATCCCCGTGCCAAGCAAGACGCTGGCATCGGAAAGGCCAGCTCTGCCAGTTCATTAAAACATGCAATCCCCAATTTGTGCCAGGAGAGGCAAAGAGAAAGACCAAGAACCTGGCTTCTAACGGCCAGTCGTGGGAATGCACGCCTCTTGTGTGGGGTCTGAGCTGGGGAGAGGGTGAGGCTGACGTGCAGCAAGGCTGAGCCCTGGCAATCACCCCGAACCCTCTTTCTTCACCCCCATCTCCCCCTTGCCCTCTTGCGTTTCTTCCTAGACCCTCCTTACCTACCACCTTGACTCTCAAAGTCCGGGTCAGAGCAAACTCCCGGCCATTCTCGTGGAAACTTGCCACACACGTGTACTCGCCGTTGTATACCTCGCTGACAATGGTGAAAGTGAGGTTGAGGCCGTTGGGGATTCGCTCAAAATACCGATTTGTTATGAGGTCGCAGTTCTGGAAGAGGGAGAGAATGGCACACAGGTCATGCACACATGCACCTCTTGGGGGGAAGACAAATTTTCGGGGCAGCCGTTGGCTAGAAAACCGAAGCGTATGCACTGGATCCTGGCACGGCGTTCGTACAACCGGATGAACCAAGTTTGGTCAAGACTGAACGGCTGCATTCCCACAAGATGCAAGGCTTGTTCAGATTTCACTCTGATTAGTTTCATGTAGGCTAGCAGGTGGTGTGAAGCTCACCCGTGACTTCCAGATTCAAGGGATCCCACAACTCTAAAAACAGGTCAATTCAGTCGCTCAGGTGAAGACCTTTAAGTGAATGCAGCCACCAGGATTTCCAAACGCACCTCCCAATTTCTGGAGGCACTGTCAAGTTCGTCTTCTAACAGCAAGAGTCAGAGACTCATCCAGATCCTTCCCTTGAAAGAAATCCTGAGGTTGGCAGGATGCCCAGCCTGTGTGTTAAGTCCTAGCACAGTGGCACCAAGGCAGAATTGGGACCAGGTTGTCGCTCAACAGAAGCCACCACCCTTTGAAGGCAAAAGCGCCAGTTCCGAAGTTCTTCCCAAGAAGGCATTGTAGCACTTGGTTGGATAAACGATTTATCTACCTTAGTAAAGACACCGTGCCCTTTAGTGCCATCTCTACAACAACCTGTCAATCTCTATCACAGTGTTTCTCAACTTGGCAGCTTGAAGACGTGTGGACTTCAACTCGCACACATCTTCAAGCTGCCAAGGTTGAGAAGCACTGCGCTATCATCTTGTGGTCATCCTTGCATTGCAAATTGGAAAGTAATTGAGATCAACAGCTTAATAACACTCAAGACCTCTTAGCACACGCAGGATTTCGGAACACCCCAGCTTCCGTTCCTAGTTTCTTTCTTCCAAATCCGGGAGTTTCCCACGGAGCCGAGGAGCAGGCCTCTGAGGTCCCGGATGCTAGCAAACCCTCCAGGCTTTGCGCAAAAATATTTCTGGCCGCTCAGCCGAGCCAAACCGCTCTTTTCCTACGCTGTCTTTTCTGACATTTCTGCAAGGAGAGGGCCAGGGGAGGAAGGGAGGCGCGGGGGCAGCCTCTCCTCGGTCCCAAATGTTCACATTGTGCACCATTTGGCCATGATTACTGGTGAGCATTACCCCGTCACATCCATCTCTGCGGGGCAATTTAAGACAGAGGCTATATACCGTTCCTGATAGAGTTTTATTAGCCGGATAAACGAGCTGCCATCTGCAAATTGATTTCCACTGGGGATTCAGTTTCGTTTGGCTAATAGATGGTTGAGATTTGAATTTTAATGGATGATGCCCTTCAGTCTAATGAGGTAATTCCTCTTTCCTCTCGGGAGAAAAGTGGGCAAGGGGGGGATGGATCAAAAGATAAACAGCTTTCAACACGGCCGGAGTCGCAGTAGCAGAAGGGTCGGAGTGGCTGCTCCCCAGAGCAGAGGAACATTTGGACATGTTGATGATTGATGTGCATCTCAATGTATCTGCTTCTTCTCCAATGCCAGGATCACAAGGAGACAGCTCCAAGCCATGCCAAGTTTCAACCTCTCCAGAAGCAAAGGAGAGGTTCCCGTACTTGCCCCTCACTGTCCCCTCTTCTCTGGACCAGCTTTGCCCTGAGATGGACAGTGGGCCCCAGGCTGCTGGCTGGTCATCAAGCCACCAAGGGCTGGCTGTTTTAGGGAGCTACAGGATTGTTCCGGTCTCTCCCGCGGGCTGCCTTTATCTAGGTTTCATTGTCGCTCAGCGCTGGGAAATGTTAATGCTACAGCATTACGCTTCTGTTTTTAATCCTATTACTGTTTTGGACTAAGTGCTCAAGAGTCAGGCGTGATTGGAGTAGCATTTAAGCCCAGCAAGTCAATCAATCAATAAAATCTGCAACCTCGGAGAATCCTGGAGAACATCTCCTGCTTGGGGACCGGATCTGGGAACTCATGCCAGGGACAAAGTCCAACCTCTGCAATTGATGGAAATGAGAGGGCGGCCAGAACTGGCCTTCAATTAATGGAGAGGCAGGCAGTGGCTCAGCTCTGATGCCCCACTGGACATCGGGGGACTGGGAGGACCTGAGAAGCCTTCTCTTTCCAAAAATCTCCAGCACTGAGAAAGTAAACCAGGGACAAATTTAGGGGCTGGGAAGAGCACAAGACGATGCAGCTATGCCCTGCCCTCATCCGTTTGGCCTGGGCAAGAATCCAGAAAAAGGCCCCCTTTCCAGTTCAAGCGACAAAGGGGCAAGAGCTGGGAAAACAGGTCTTTGGGACTCCCCCACCACTGGATGGCCACCAAGGAAATGGATCTTGGCTAAGTGGCCGGACAGGCCTGTCTCTGGCTGACTCCTTGGAAAACCACGGATCACCTAAACCATCAGTGCAGACCCACATCCAGCAGGATCCCCCGCCCCCCCGGACCACCCGGTCTTGCTAATGCTGGCAGGCTGGCCTGAGATGGAGGCCTCCTCCCAACGTCTCCTTCCACAACCAAGATCCCGCTCTGTCCTCCAGATCTTTCTCACTCACCATGTACCAGCGGACCTTTGGTTTAAGGCCAGGGGGGTAAAAGCTTTCCACATCTGGGCAGGAGAGGTTCTGCTTGACCGCGTTTGAATACATGAGCACGTCATCCGGCTTGACCGCTTGGCTGACGCAGGAGCCGGGGTCTTTGTTGACAACCTCCAAGGGGACGGCAACCTTGCTACAGTAGGTGGTATTTCTGTGAGGAAGGCAGGCAAGCAAAAGGGTTGTCACTGCTCAGGCCACAGAGGAGCGTGGAAATCCAGACCGAAGACACGCAACAGTAACAGCCGTTCACGCAAAACCAAGTGGAACGGTGCAAAATATCGCCCCAGGAAGCCTGTGGAATGCCGGGCCACGAGACCCTGCAAGGGAAACTAGCAGAAATGGCTTTTCAAAATGTTATGTTTACGGATGGCGGGCTTACACACACACACACACACACACACACACAGTGGTATTCCCTTTCAGAGTAAGCAAAAGGGTAAGAAATGGGAAGTCAATGAAATTTAAGAAAATGAAAAAGGAACAGAGCCAAAACTAAAGACACCAACACCGCTCACCCTTTGTCTGTCTCTCTACGCTGCTCCCTCCACAGGAACTGTCCTTGCTTTCCCACGTGCGCCCACCCCCTCACATATTCCCTTTTTCCCCTTCATCTTCTCAATTCTCTCTGCTGGAACCCACCAACTCCACCTGGCCGTGACTTTCTCCGTATTTCCCTTCGTCTCGACCCCTTCACTCCTCCTTTGCCGTTTGGTTTTGCGATCTGATCCTCTCAACAGGACCAAACCGTATCAAGGGGCTTCGTTCACGGTGACTCCAGGTTTCAGTATTTGGTCCATGTTCATGCAGCACCCGTTCATTCTTGACCCCGTGGCATGGAATTTTTTGTGGGATGGGGGGGAGCATGGGAGGTCTTGGTGAGATGGCAGCAGTGGGGCACAAATACTCCCTGTGATGGGCAGAGAGAGGTATGTTGTTGGTTGGTACTATTCCAAGAGAGGGGAGACCAGGAATTGGGGGTTGGTGCCTGCTTGTAGCCCATCAGCCTCATCCCTGGCTCCAGAGACCACATTGCCAGGCACCTTCAGGTTAGGACATTAAGATCGTATCCACCCACAGACTTGGCCCATATCTTGGAAGCTTGGTGGAGTCAGAATGGGGATGGACCTCTGCCCACGATTTATCTTCTCTGGCTGCAGATACTCCAACACCTTCTGGACCAAGGCCAGGGAGGGTGTGTGTGATAATATTCTGAGAGTCCACAGTGACCAGATGGGCTGCTGCACAGATGACCAATGGGGTGTGCCCAGCCATGAAGCTGGGCCAGAGGGACACGCCTGGGCTGCTGGTGGTGATGCCCCATCCACCTGTTTATTTGGAAGCAGCCCTGCATGAGCTCATGGACCTCAGAACTGGGCTGGTGCTGGTTTCTCCCAGGATATGAGCCCTGTAGGATTTCAGTCTCCATGTCTTAGATGTGGGATCCCACTGTGCTCAGTATTTCCCTGCCTCTTTGGAAATTATGGGTTTGCCCAAAGTGACCTAAAGCCCAGTACAGATAGGCAGTCACACGCTGAACTTGATTTTCATGTTGGAGAAGATTACTTTGCTCCAGGGTAGATGCTTCTTGGCCAGAATTTAGTGGAAAGACTGAGCCAACCCCTGGTGTTATGCCCTAGAACTTTTCTGCACTTGTGGAATTTGAGAAAGTGGAGAAGGTTCTATGTAACAGGAACTTGGCCTTCTATGGACCCAGACTCCATCTGGCTCCTTCAGGCAGCTTAGGCAGGGGTCAGTGGATTCATGGAGTGATTGATGGCTCTTGGAGGCAGGGTGAGCCCACTCCTGATGAGACCGTGTCTCAATCCGGCCACATTGGACAACTTCTGCCCAGTCTCCAATCTTCTCTTGTGGGAGAAGATTGTAGAGATGATACAGAGGGACCCAGAGAAGGATGTTATCCTTCCAGTCAGGGCTCAGACCTGGACACAGGACCAGACTTCATTGGTCACTGTAGTGGATGACCCCAGTCTAGAGGGATACCATGGGGTGATGGTATCAAAGGCCACCAAGAAGTTTCAGAGGATCAAGGGATCCCATGATACCATCACCCATGGCATCCTCTAGATTGCCTGTGAGAACTGGGGATATCATTCTGCAGTGAGTTGCACTCCTTGGGTAGATAATCAGTGGTCATGGGGAAAGCCCAGCTGAGTTTGGTGTCCTTCCTCATGTTATTCTACATGTGTGTGAAACAGGCTGGATAAGGTTTCTTCAGTACATTGGTAAGAGCCACTATAGGCACGGCCATCCCAGGCTAGACCTGAGATGCAGGAGGCCCTTACTTGGGGTCTGGAAGCCTGTGAAGAACTGGATAGGATAAAACGAGCTTAGAGCGAACCCCAGAAAGATGAAGGCGATGTTTGTAACTGAATGATCTGCCCCTTTTCACGGTCTCAGGTTAGCTCTGGACAAGGTCACACTCAACCAAAAATGGTCTGCAGCCTGGGACTTCTCCAGGACCCTAACCCTAACCCTGTTTGAGCACCAGGCAGAAACGGTGTTCAGGGCAGCCTTTGTCCAGCTTTGACTGGTGTGTCAGGATGGTTGCAAGCTCTGTAATAAATAAATATCTCTTTCTTGTTTTTCCATGCACACTTAAGTACTTCATTCCTACTGAACCCAACATACTTGTCCATTTCTCCTGACATACAGAGGGCAGAAGCGCATTCTTACCCCCAACTCTTTCTGCTTCTTTCAATAAACATTCATTGCTCACAACAGGCCACATCCCACCCACTACTTTTCTACAAGCACTTGCACATCTTAAATTTTCTCCATCCGTTTCTCCATAATTACAAGTAAATATTCTATCAAGGTACGCAAATTAATCTACAGCTCTAGCTTTTCGCCATTGGTGTATAACTCGCAATCATTCACTCCATAGTCTCTGTCAAACACAATTACCTTGGTCTTTGAAACGTTAATTTTCAAATCCATACTCCATATAATCTAACATTTGCTGCAAATCATTTGGGTCCTCAGCCAACCACATGGCGTTCTCTGCACATAAAAGTATATGCACATTCGTGTCTCTAACAAGCACGCCTCTAACCTATCCACAAGCATTCCTCCTACATTTTATCCACCAAGGGGACATCACGCACCCTTGTTCTACTCCCTGTTCGGTGTCAAATCATTTGCTAATTATTCCATTCATTTTCATGCCTGCTTTCCTTTCCATTATTCTGGACTTAACTGCATTCAGCAATCAAATTTCAACCCTGCATTCATCCCAAACGTTCCATCATTCAGCCCTATTAAGACGGTCCTGTGCCTTCTCTCAATCACCAAATACATAAATACGTTTTCTGGCACCCATACATTTCTCAGTGATCTGCTGAAGAGCAAAAATCTGGTCTGCACAGCTCTGGCATAAAACCACAGTGCAGTTCCCAAATTTTGCTCATAGCCTCCTCTCGTACCCTTTCAGTCAGAATTCGGCCAGAGATTCGCCAGCACGCTCAACAAACGCATTTCCCTGTAGCCTTTTTGCACACCTTCTTGCTTTCATTCCCTCCGGATGGAGGAATGCGAACAGGGTTCTTCCCGTCGTCCAGCGCAGGCGCAGCCTTGCACACCCGTGAAATAAGTCACCCCGTAAGGAAGCCACCTCCATATTTTAACATTTACCCCAATTACACCGTCTAACTTGCAGCCTTACCATCTTTCAACCTTCTCACTGCATTTATGACTTCCTCTTAATCAATGTTTTTCCTGGACGCTAAAATTTATAGTGTTCATTTCGATTCCACTCTTCGACGTGCCGCTCTCATTTCCATACAAATACTCCTTCCAGCTCTCCCAAATCTCGGTTTCGTCCCTGTCATGTCATGGCTTTCATTTCCCTCCCATTCACTCTGCTGGAGGCCCTTGGCTTCGCCCTCCCCCCCCCTTCTAAACCATTTTCACTTCCCTCCAAATTGCTCTGCATTTTCTCTGCCTCTTTTAATCTTGGCGTTTCTAAGCCTCTTTGGGAACATCTGTCTTTGCTCATTCCAGCCGCTTCCACTCCGTCATTCCTCCAAGCACCCATTTCCATGCTTCCCGTTAGCAGAACCCCACACCCTTCTGTGGCACTCTCTAATGCAGCGTTTCTCAACCTTGGCAACTTTAAGATGGGTGGGCTCCAACTCCCCGAATTCCTCAGCCAGGAAACGCTGCTCTAATGCGAGAGCGTCAGCAAGGTGAGGTCAAACAAGTCAAAATGGCAGCCCTAACCCTAACCCTTGCTGGAGTTCCTCCTGTATCTCTCTCTGAAGAGGAATGGGGAACCACCACAGCTCTCTGTAGGCACCACTGGTCGGGTTCTTGTCCCAATCACCCAGCTTATGGCTAGATCTGGGCATTTGTAGCTTCTCCTCCCACAGCTAGTTTTATAAAATCATAACATGTACAGAATTGGAACGGATCTTAGAGGTCATCCATTCTAGACCAGTGTTTCTCAACCTTGGCCACTTGAAGATGGGTGGACTTCAACTCCCAGAATTCCCCAGCCAACATAGCTCGCTGGGGGATTTTGGGAGTTGGGGTCCACGCACCCTCCA